GTCTTGTTAGAGGATCCCAAGGCCCTTCATGTGCAAGAAGAAAATGAGCATTTCTTGGAGTTGCTGCACTAGACAAGCCCAAGTATGTTGCTCTCATTTCAGCATCCGAACACAGAATTGCAAATTAAAACCCAAATGCATATGATCACATTAAGGTACAGAAATAAATCAGAAAGGCTTAGCTTAGATCTCCTCTAACAAGTGATTACACAAATGTGATGTCTGAAAAGATGTAACCCCCTTTTCCCACCTCATCCTGTGTTTAAGGAATTCTATGCATTCAGGTTTGTCTACATTTTTATAAATCAATGCAATGAAGTGCATTATGTTTTTATTTTTCTTTTTAAGTAGTGGAAGAAAGAAGAGATTTCTTATTTGTTAGAGCAGTCATCTCAAAATGAAAGGTAATTCATCAATTTCATGACATGAAGGCATTTCTCATTTAATATAACTGAGCATATATCAAAACCAGGGTAAAATCCCAGCATGTCTACTGCCTCAGTGATTCTCCATCATCAGGCCACTGTTTTACCAGAATCCAGCAGTTTTGTCTGTTTCTTAGAGTTATTAAGCAGTGTTCATTTCATCGTGGTCTCCACTTCAAGAGGTGGAAAGGAACAAAAGAAAAAAACTCTCCCATGAGCACATGCCAAACAACTGGTAGATCCATTATCCTCCTTGTACTAAGGACAATAACAAAACCACCACTAGCTGACAATACTTTAAAAAGGTTCCAGGCATCCAGAGGTGCATAAATTCCATATTTCTGTGTGCCAATCCTTCAACACAAGTCATACATGCTTACACTTCCTATATACTTGTCTCTCCACAATCTTCCCATTTTGTCTAGCCAGACTTGTTCAGCCAACAAGCTTTTGCAACAATAAGAACCTGTGGAAGCAGAGAAGCACTGAGAGAAAAAAAGCAAAAAAACCAGTGACACCCACACAGAGAAAGGACTGTCATTTCTTGTCCCAGAAGCCTCATTTTCATTATGAATAAAGGTTCTTCCCACCAAAATAAGCCCTTGGGCAAAACTACATAGGACAGGATGGAGGTAAAACAAAAAAGATATCAACCTTTGGAAGACAATTTAATTCTGGAGTTCACAGGCCCCATGACAAGCAAAAACAGGTCGACACGGAATGTCACGAGGTCCATCTGTTTGAGGGAAGAATGCTCATCACCACTGAGTTTAGTTTTTTTTTTTCTTTTCACTCGTGCAAAGAATACCGCATCAAGATAGTCTTCTCAACTGCACTGATTATAAAAGAAGACTCATGGCAAGGAAAACTACTGGTAAACTTGCAAAGCAAAGTGACTGCTCACTGAGTGCAGTACTTATAATTGCTTCAAAGGGAAACTTACATCCAGGCCTTCCATTAAAAAAGGCACAAACAAATTGTAACCACAGAGACCTAGAATAATCCAGAAAAATCTTACGAACAAGCTACAATGAAAAACTCCTACTTGAAATTGCCATCAATAAAAGCTAATCAAAACTCAGATATTAAAAGTGCCACACTGATGGCAGCTCAGAAAAAAGAAACACACACACACAAAAAGAGAACAGGACAGCCAAGTAAATATGGATTTGACTGCTTTATGAAAACTCTAGCAAATTAAGTATTTGACTGCTTTACTGAAAAGGTGGTAGGACAACATGCCAGGGCAGCAACAGAACTGCAGTCACCCATCCAGCCTTGCAGGTCCCTCATTACCATTGCACTTCTCTGACAGGCTGCAACCCTATTGCAAATTCATCCAAAAAAGCTTAGTTACTGAACTTCAGTGGCTTGTTCTCTAGGCAGAACCCTCCTAATCTGCTGCAGCTGAACTTCCTCAGCCTATCAAGTAGGAAATCCTTTTATTGCTCTGGACTGTAAGCCTCTTATCTCTTAATTCTGTGAGGCTGAGAAATAGCTGTTCTGCTCATTAATCCTACAATCACTGTCAGAAGGAAATATATACCTTCTCCCTCTACTCAAATACAAGTAACTAGGTTTCATCAAGTTCTTTACTAACTACTTAGTCAAGTCCCACTCCACAAGATTTTATAGGGACTGGAATAGCAGAAACGTAGTTTCACTACTTCCGTGAAATAGTCACATTTGGTCCTATAAAATTTTAGATGACCTAGTTCAATGTAAAGAACTGATATTAGGAGCTGATATTGCCTCGGGCCGGAAAGAAGGTACCCAACTCTGGAGGACAATTCTGAAATTAGACAGACCCTATTCCATTCTCTGCACTGTAGATACCAGCAAATTGTTTAAGAAAGTCTTCTTTTTTTGCTTCCAAGCAAGTGCAATACTGGCTAGAGTTGCTGTGTGGATGACTATGAATAATTTCCACTACAGTTTATACATACACAATTAGTTTACAATAAGACTTTTCTTATTTATTAGAAACCCATGTCATCCATGACCTTCTAAGACAGCTCAAAGGTAAAAAAAAAATAACCAGTTATGTTCTTGGCTTAACTAATACATTTAATTAGCATCCCCAAGAAATGATAAAGGTTGCTGGTTTACCCCCCTACAACACTTAGCCAAGAAGAAATTAATAAAATAGTATTTTTATCTGGATTGATGTCTTCTGTTTCTTCGTACAAAGTGAAAACTTATTACAAACAATTGCTAAACAGCACTGCAAATATAACTGAGATATCACAAGATGCAAAAGTAAGCTCTCATATAATATGCATTATTTAATATTTTACATTTACGTATCTGATAGACAGAGGCCCATCTGTATAATTCAAAAAAAATCCAAAACCTTCCTATAAAGTTTGTGTTAAGAAAAATGTTAAAGTGGCAAACTGTGTTAAGATCACAGATATCTCACATCAGTTGTAGCTTTTAACTATAAATGTCACACTTCATCATGCAGCTGTCAGCTTCCTTTACTGTACTAAATGCTATCATGTAGGCACAAAACCTGACATGATGTAACACAACAATTAAAATAAAAAGCAAGTCAGCTTTGACACCATGTCACTTTTCTGTTTGCTGCAGAGGAAAATCACAAGTACAAAAGTAAAAGCTAGTCAAGAAAAAAGCCTGCAAAAAATCCCAAACATCAATTAATATTTTCCTCTAACATCATGTCAGATTTTTATGTTCAGCTTTACAAAAGACATCCACAGCTTTCGCCCAGATAATTATAAATTGACACCAACAGACATCAAGAAGAAAGTCTAAAACTTTTAGAAAGATTCTACTGTATATAAATATACTTCTAGTTGTTAGCTCCGTAACAGCCGACATCCATGGAACTAAGTAATTATTTTTTCCTTCCCATCCTATCCTTTTTCAATTTCTACCCACTCGGTGGTACTGCTGCGGCACATTAAAATTGCTAGCGCTTTTCAAACCAGGTGCAACAGCACTTAAATTATGCCTGAAGCAATTCTTAGTAATAATGGAGAAATTATCAATTCTAGATAATTAACACTGAAACTGGTCATATATTACAAGTTTGATCTTCATGTATTGTACTTGATGTATAACTCTAAATAAAAGTGCCTGAAATTTTCAAAAATTAGCTTCTGAAAAAAGGAAAATCATGTACATCTGGAAAAGTATATTGTTAGTAATTAGACTTCCTCCTTTTGAGTGGTTTTTTTTCCTTCCTTTACATCAATCCTGTATCCATATTTAATATATCAGCAATATAAAAAACTTTGGCCCAAGGGAAAGTTAGTGGCATCTGTCACAAATACAGAAATGTCACATGCCCAGTATTCACTCTGGCCATACTGTGACACATTCAAAACCCATGGCCCAAGGAAGAAATAATCACAACAGAGTCCATTTGCAGGCAGGAAGAAAAGAGTCAAACAAAAAGAAGCTAGAGGCCTGTCCTACAAAGGGAAGGGCCGATACAGACATTTAAACAATATTTCTGTAAAATCATTCACTTAAAACATTGAGTTAGCGCAAACACCTTTTTTCCCTTTGTGGAAATAAGAGGAAAGGGGAACACACAGTGAGTTGTACCCTCAAACACCCCATTACTTCAGAACTCTTTTCTGCTGACCTACTTCTGCACCTTCCTCAGGATTTCCAGGGCAGTAACCTGCTCATCTAACAATAAAATTAAGAACAGTATCATTCTGACTGAAAAAGATTTATATTTTAAAATGTTACTGCATTTTCAAATGTGCTCTATTTGATTGATTACGACATCAAATTGCAAGTAAACTAAGAAAATAAAACACTGGGGTTAATAAAAACAAATTGAAAAAGACACCCAACTAAAAATATGCAAATGAAGTAATCCAAAATAACCTCAGACCTGCCCTTACAGCCGTCTCCCAGTAAACCAAATCCATGAGTAGTATTTGGACACCAACTAAGCTGCTAGGAATTTGATCTTTAAAGACTACTCTTTAACCAAACACTGAAAATTATAACTGTGGCAACACTTGTACTTTTCTAAGAACTTGTCTGTATTATAAGTCAGTGACATTTATGCTGAACTAGATAATTTTTCAAAAACTAAAACTACACAGTATTTGTTGAGGACTATATCCAGCTACAAGAAGACTTCAAAGTGATCACAGTGAATGCACACCTTTAAGTTATCTGTTGTCATTTTTTTCCTAGCCACTGAAATGTTTAATTATTGTTAGAGATGTGTGTACATACAAGGGACAAGAGGAGAGAGGGAAGGTCTAGTTCTTGTGGGCATGGATATGTCCAGCTGTGAAAGTTTATGCGATCCGTTGGTTATATTAATCTCCAAAATTCTCCTGTACCAGCCTTTTGAAGGAATAGGACCTTTACATTACTGGCCTCAGAAGATGTCATTGATTTGCACACCTAGGACTTGAAATATGAAATGACAGAAGAATCAAAGTTTAGAAATAAAACATCTAAAACCTTCACTTTTTATGCTTTTGACTATTATTATACTTCTTAGTATAAACATACAGTCTGAGAACTGAGACTTGAACTCCATGTTGAAAAGATGACAAAATGAAATACACTTCATACCTGCACTTCTTAGGTTAGGGTCTAGGTCTGGCATTTCCTTGGATGCTTCTGGACTGACGCTGTAAATAGATGCTCCTGCTTCACTGACAATGCTGAAAAATAAAATGGCAAATAATCAAAACATGATACAACTGAACACCACAACTGAAAGACTTAGCAAGTGACCTAATTCAATATTTGGCTTTTTTTTTTTAAAGCCTTATGTTTTAAAAATACTTTGAATCAAATTAATACTTATAAAAGGCAGAACATACAAAGCAAAACATCTCCATTAAAGCCAAAACACCCCTCCCAGACCTGCAACATTAATTCTTTTTCAGTTCTGGCCCTATTATAAATACATACTGCACATGATGTCAGGCCTTGTAGTAATCTTACAGAGAAAAAGAACACTAGAAACACATCTTACCAGTAAAAAGGCAAACCAGCTCCATAAACAAAACAAAAGCCTACCTGACAATTTAAAACACCTAGATTCTAAAACCTAAAATCAATTAAACTATTACATGAACCGAAGTCATGAGCGTGCATGCACACTGTCCAAAGCTAGCTGCCTAAAATACTCAGAAAAAACCCAACTTGACACAGACTGAGCCAGAGAGCTGCAGCTTGCTTCTCAGCGGCATTTAATACCGTCTTCTCCCCACTCACGCTGCCATCCCCAGAGAAAAACACAGACTGCATGTCTTCAGTAGCTTAAACTACAGTTCACGTGTCTGCCGCACACCTCAAACTCATTCAGTAATAGTGATAAACTCACCAATTCAAATCACAACATGTAATTAAAAAAACCTTGACTGCTCTAGTTCCACTCAAGAGAAAACGGCAACCAAATATTCAGGGTAAGTTTACTTTCAGCTGTGAATTTTGACACCACTGAATCAACAGTATATTTCTTCAAATAACTTCAGCAGAACTTGAATTTCAGACTGATAATTAAGGCATCATATAGCTAGCACACTGGAGAGGAATACTGTCCGTTCCACAACTATTTTTACTTTTACTGCTCCACTCCTAGAATAACCTTATTTTTGTCATGAGGAGGGAAAACAGAGTCCAGACCTTTCAATAAAAATCATAACTTTGCTTTATATTGTTTTAAAATTAGACTATACATTTTCATTGTAAGAACATTTAGTAGGTTGACTTTTTAAATAAAGAAACTGATACCTAGAAGCCCCTCCCTTTAGAAAAAGCTGGGGAATAGCTCAGCAATAAAACGTGTTCCCATTCACTGTTCCAAGTATGTTAACAGTAAATAGTGTAAAATGCAGATATAAAAAGTGTGATTGTCTTACTGTTGTTTTTACACATTGGTTTTCCTTATATGTAAATTATCTATTCAATCAAAATGTAATTTGGTACAGTGCTGTACATACAAGTCTAATTTTATAGTTACTAGAAACTCAAAAGAACATTTCAGAATTAAAGACAAACCAGATCTTTCAATAAATAGAGGATAAAATCCTGATCTTTTTCATATTAGCGTAACTCCAGACCTATTCTAACTACTGGCTTACAAGAAAGAAAAATTGCTCAGACCAGTTGGTCAACAGGCTGAATGAGGCAAATGAAAATGATACTACTTACATGATCTTTTAAAAAGATTCACTATTACAGGCATTCCTTCACTCTAAATGGCATTCAGAAACCAGTCCCATAAACAGATAACTGAGAGTCACCCCCAAAAGAACTTCAGAGATATGATCATATCACAGAAACCTAAGTGCTGAAAAACAGATGTTGACAGAAGCCTCAAACTGATTTTTCTGATGAATGGGTAGTTTAGAGAACAATGCAGCAGAATGTATTTCTTAACCTGTTCACACCTTATAAAGGCAGCACCTGGCAAGCACTCCCCTTTTGAAAATTGCTTCCAAAAATCCACACACATTACCACATACTTGTACAAGCTTTTAACTAATCGCTCTTCATTCTCCTCCTATTCAAACATATCCAAAAGTTAAGCTCTCATGCAATTTCTAAATTTAATACATCGATACTACACTTCAATTAAAGTAAAAAAAAATTTTGCACACATTTTTACAGTGCTGTACTATGAACTGTATTACTGCACGCTGCTTAGTGCTTGACGGTTCCCAGTATTTTGTGCAGTGAAAAAACAAAGTGGCATGGTTGGGAATTTTAACACACTTGACATTTTATTGATTGTCATTAATGCTACACTGACAATTTTCAGAACCAAGAGAGCAAGTGACTCATGCCAAATTTTAAGGTAGGTAGTACAAAAACTTCTTGCTAAAATGTGTAAATAAAATTAAACTCAGGATGGGAGAAAGAAGCATTTGAAAAGAGCACATTTCCTTTCCTCAAGTGCAAGAACATTTATACAGTGGAGGGAAAGGAGGGGGAGAGCAAAGTAAAAATTTATCTCAAGTAGGAAAACAAGATATAAAAAGCACTTTCAGAAGCAGCATACACTGGATATTTGACATCCACGCTAAGATGGTTTTTTATACGCATGCAGTTACTCTATGAAGTATTTGGTTTAACAGACTTGGAGAAGGGGGGCAAGAATTTCCACTCACGCAGAACCCCATACTGCTGCGCCTAAGACAGTAAAACCCAGACGGTAAATAAATTTGTTACCCAGAGTAAATGTGTAGGGCCACAAACTCCAAAGAAACCATCCTCTGGTTCATTCAACCATAGTCAAACTTTTACAGAGCTATCAGTGGCTGTCATGTGGTTTTATTTAGTTTGTTTTGTGCTACAGTGAGGTAGTTACTAATGTGACACTGGCACATACAATACTAAAACATTTAGCTTGATCACACTACTAAGATCACAAACAAAATAGGTTTAGGGATTTTTGTTTGCAGTTGTTCTGGATTTTGCTTTTAGACTAGACAACAGAAAGACACTTCAGTTTAGAGACTGTGTTTTCTTGTTGGGGGTCTTTTTTTTATTCTAATACTCCTCTTTAAAAGTGTGATGCTATACAGGACAATTTACTCCAGTTTAATGTTGTAAAATTATCTGCATCGTGCTTTCAAATAATATACATATTTTATGTCAGGGCACATGAAGACAAAACCAACCCTGCTTAAATCAGTAGGCGATAGAAATTTAGTCCAAACTACTGCAGACCACACTGTTCTCTGACCTCCCACCTCTCTTTTTATTTTAAAGAATACAATTTGCAAGAGAGTCAAAACAAAGCCCTCATAAGAGTTGGTAAAAACTGTATCTAAAAATAGGCATATATTCAGAACTAGAATTTTTCTTCTTTGACTTTTTAAGCCACATAATGCATTAAAACTGAAAACTAGACTCCTCCACTTCCTCATATAAAATTAGATCCTATTTCTGTGCATTTCTTAGGAGGAAAGATTCTCGCACTGACCAAAATCTTAACAGTTAAAACATTATTAAAAAGTTATTTTGCTATCTAAAGTGAAAGTGTAGTAGGTAAATAAGCAAGTGGTCATGACATAATGCTTACAATACAAAAATGGACAAGTTTAACGAAATGCTCTCTGAATTAACAAAAAAAAGTAGGTAAAGAAGCTGGGAACACGGCTGCATACTGTCTGCTTGCCACATTAGCCAGATAAGTTTTTTTACTCAGTGTCTATATCCAACTTTTTAATAATTAAAAGCGTCCAAACCAAAAAGCTGCTACATAATATCAACTTAATCATTTTAGTTGTAAGCGGATTGTTGCATAGAAAGTAAGCTTTCATATACTGCAGCCGCCTCATTCACATTAGTTAAGACACATTTTAAGTACCGTGAAACCAACTTAAATGTATACCACTAGCACCACCTGCTGGGCCCTCAGCTTTATGCTGGAGACCATGCTGCCTGTACTCTAAACACTGTAAGGAGCCTTTTAACATTTACTAGAACAAGCTTTCCTACTCAGCTTAAAAAGCATTATATATTTATTATTAAAAGATAAGTTGAAGACCAGATGAAAACATTCAGATTTTCCATCTCTTAATTTTTATAGGAAAAGTGCCTTTCTAGTAATAGGTTAAAAAGTAGTCTCAGAATACTTACCATATTTTTTTAAATTTAAAGCTATTGCATACCTACAAAAATGCATAATACTAAAGATTACATTTAACAAACTACAGTTATTAATAGTTGTTTCAATATTTTAAAATTTTATGTACCTGGATATAATGGCACATTTTTTAAAACTCCCAAGGTTCTCGCGTAGTAAGTTTTCAATGAAAACCTTATAAAAACTATGTGCAAAAATCTAATGTATGTATAACAAGAAAGATATATCAGGCTGCATGCTTCTAGGGTTAAAGACAGATGCAGCTTCCTGAGATTTTCATGAACCTTACCAACATTTCAGACTATTTTATTACATTGAACTAATTTCCCCACAAACAAACGCAACACTGGATTAATAACCTATAGAGAGAGAAAAAGTAACTTTATCCAACTTTGCATAACGTACTGTTCCTGTGATCTCCAAAACCCTGATTCACAACTTGAAGCCTTTCAAATAACATTTTAAGAAACAATATGAGTACAAAGAAGAGGCCAGTGTTAATACTTGGATGAAAATTGTGGTCATTCCAAAAGCAACGGGTATGTCAACCTCAAAGTGGGCCCAGATTTTCCATATTTGGTCATAAAAATGATGATCTGCCAAAACACAACCCCCTGCACAATCAGAATTTAGTAATAGTGGTTAACTCCTCTAACCCAACTTTTTACATATTAACTGGTAAATATACTCTGCATAAGATTGTGTCAACAAAATCTAGAGACTCCCACATAGGGTTGAAGAACAGAAGAGTCAAAGGATTATTCAGTGTTACTTATGAATTACCCAGGACATTAAAAGAAAATGAAATAAAATTACTAATATATTTGCTGGAAAAGAATGTTACATTTAGGAGCTCAATTGGAATGCTACAAGCTAATTACGTTGACAGATTTAGTGACTAAAAACAAACTGAGGGGCAGAGAAGACTTAAGTACAAGCTCAAAAGAAGATTGGGCTGTTTCACAAAAGTGAAATCCATGGGGCCTTACTGAAAACACAGAAGTCACAACTAGATCCAGAAGAGCCCAAAACCAAAAATGGTTGAGAGCTACAAAAGTA